TATTAACATATAAACGAAATAATACACACATAAAATGAAATCACAGTCCGCTTGAAAATATTGATTTTCGTCCAAAAAGAAGTTTATAATTATGAATTTATTCTTGTTTTAACAATTAAAAGATTTGATATATCTGTACAATTTCATTATATATTTAAGTTTAATTTACTGAAGTGTCATTATTTTAGTCAGTCAAAAAGTCAATTGGAATGTGTTACTTTTAGATACAAGCAATGCAAACATGTGACTATGATAAATATTTCATCTATCGGGTGTATAAATCGTCTGTTTTGATCCGAACTATCAATCTTATCAAATTGTAACGTAAACAAGTAACAGAATTCATTTATTTATTTCCCTGTTTGTAGAAATAGAGTTGGCTTTAAAATAGACCGATCTGAAATGTGTTCTTAGATTATATTTTGTACGTTTCAAGCATCGTTTACATGAACTGAAGGCCTTATTTCAATTAGCTGATTGTAATTATTTCATGTAAGGTATTGAACCGGATTGCCGATCATTATATTTTTGCTGAAATCCAAAAAAGTTTGTTTGATGATATCGATCGAACTTTCATACTATGTGTATGTGAAATCGATTAAGACTCTGTATTTTAATTCAGCACATGTTGCAAACTGTGCTTTCAAGTGTTCGGCTGCAAAAACAAGTTGATTTGTTAAGTTTAAAGAAACTTTCCCAAATCTCTAAAGATAACTGTAATAGTGAAGGCGTTATAGATAAAACAAGCAGTCCTTCACCTTCAGAAATGGGTTTTCAAAATAAATTTCAACTTACTATATAAATATATTTTACATTAAATGTTTTCAAGTTTTACACGAATCATCTTTATGATAAGTTTAAACAAAGACTGTATAATTCTTGATCTGAATAAAATACGATACTACGTACTGTTTGATGGTTGGTATTTAACAAATGTCCTCGTTGTAAATGTAAACAAATCAATAAGATTTAATAAAATAATCAGCATTCAGCTAAGCATATTTATAGATTTTCTTAAGGTGTAGATCTTAGTTAGACAATCATTGTAGACCAGAAAGCAGTGAACAGCTTTTTCGTCATAATACAGGACCTGTCAACAGCTACGAAACCAACAGAGGTTGAAATCTCCTTCCCATAGTGAACGCAAAATTCATATGCTATCGCAAATTGACTGAACTGCAAACACTTAGGTGCTAACCCAGTGATTTGAAGTCCAAGCGCCCTCCAGGTGGCCTGAAGTTCCTTGGTTCGAGGATGTATATTGTTAAAGAGTTTCATTTGAGGAGAAAAATAGATACTCAATATTTCCTCGTTTACATTGATTGCCTAAGACTGGTCAAACTATGGGATTTAGAAATCTCTTCAATTCTTCATATGATCTGATATTATACTTAATATAAAGTATGTCTTCTAATATATCTGATATTAAGGTTGAATATATATATATATATATATATATATATATATATATATATATAAACATATTTGATTAGACTACTTTATCATTAAGAAAGAGAGTCATTAATACATATTTACATTGAATATTTAATCGAGCATATTTATTTATCCCACTAAAATTGAATATTACTTTTATTCTCCATATTTAACATAAATCGTCAGTATTAATTTCTTAGAGTAAATGATTATCTTTGGATCAAGTAAAACTTTCAACTTGTAACGCAACAATATTGTATGATGAAACATTAACTTTCTATTAACCAATAAGTATTTGATAAAATTAACTATTCACTTTTAATCAACTATAATATATATTGAAAATTCGTAACAAAAACAAAGCGTTGTTACTAATCTACTAATCTCTTGAAAGGACAATTAACTTTATTGATGGACATAGTGTTAGTGACAAACTAGTATGTAAATGAAATTCGCTGTTTATATCTGTCAAGTAATCAATTCACTGTAATAAATTAAGTTGATCTCATTATTAATAGGCACGACTGTCTTGTAACGTTCTGCAGTTTTCCAGCTAACATTTTCTTTGAAGACTTTTAATATCTTAGAATGACTTCATTTAAGCACCGATAGCTGTTCGATTCCAGTAAGGGTCCACTTAGCAGCATGTAGCTGAAATACCTTTAAGAATTGACTTCAAGATATCGGGTCACATGAAAATAGTGATGCAGCACGGCTCCAGATGCTGACAAATTTGATTTATTTACTTGAACAACCGGCTTCCTAAAACTGTATGATGCAAAAAATCTTCAGGCTGGGAAAGGTAATTATTAGTATTACGATTTACCATTTAGACACCGTTTGCATATTTTTTATCATTTCAGTGAGATTAAGCTCAGAACAATTCGTTACTTAAAGATTTTTAAACATATAGAATACACTCATTTAAGTATAGTAAAATTAATTTTATTTTAGTAAGTAGTTCGTATGAGATTTATTGTGTAAAGAATTAAGTTAAGCTTCCTGTATTCACACCTACACAATAGGTAGGTACACACATTTATACGACAGACTAGGAAAGTTAGTTGAATACAACATTATTTCTGTGTATTATCGTCCTTAACTTAATACAATGATCGATTTCCAAACATGAAAACTATTTTATGAGTTTATGAGTTTGAAACGTATTAGTTTCAGAAAATCATATTTATTATCACTGAATATATGATCAAAAATCATCTACTTGTAGATTGAAAATCTCTTTAAGTAAACATTTATTTTCAAAGTCTTTTTCAGTTTTCAAATGAAATTTAAAGTAAAATCAACCAAAAAACAATTTGTAGAATTAAAACAAAACAAAACACACAGAAAAAACAAGGCGACTAATTTCTTTGTTTTGATTTTTTTCTCGTCAAACTTCAATGTCTTAAATTTGGAGGTGTATATATATGTATATATATTTATTTTTTTCGTGTTCCTCTTTAATTGTGTCATTTAAGGTGTAGAGAATTAAATGTTTTATACGGGAGTAGAATTCGTTGTTATGGTTACAAAATTAGATGACAGGGGAATTGAAGTTTCACAAACATAAAAGCAATTTGATCTATTGGTTTTAACGGAAAAAAAAGCCCAACTTTTTGAAATTTCAAATGGTTTGATATTACAAGTGTTGTGCATGTGAAATAACTTGAAATCAAGAATTCATTGATTGTTGTATTAGTTAGATAAACAGATAGATGAATAGATAAATCAGACTGGTTCTTTGAAAAGTTTCAAATGAAATTAATTGACACTTCAAATGTAAATGACCTAAGGTATATATTTAGATTCACTGTAATATGTAGAATTGTCTAATGAAGCAGGATAAATGCAATGATTCTTGTTATCTGAAGACAAATTCTATAAAACAAACAAAAGCACTTGATGTGAATTTTTTTCATTACTTAAGAAATTCATTTTCATAAGCAGAGATCGCAACCTCCTACCAGATTAGAAAAAATTCACCACATCAATTAATTTCCGAAATTCTTGATATATACGTATAATCATTATTCAAATTAATGATTTTCAAAGCTGCATTTCATCTGTATTATTGCTTCATTGTTGTGTACAAATTGAATTCGACATGTATTTTGTCATAAAAGCATCAATCAAAAATGATATGCATCCCTTGCTATTTGCTTAAATTTAAATGTATTGACCGGACTGATTTTGTAAATAGGAACAATGTCGAAATTTAGCTGTGAACATATCAATATATTTCTGACAGAATTTGAATTAGTTCAAAACGATTAATTGGTATTCAATAAGCATGTTGAACATATTCAGCATGTTAAGCTTGTTTGCTAAATTTTCTCTTTAATTCGTGTAAATCTCAGCTCTGTCTGAATCTAGGTACAGTTATCCGCTACTGCAGTGAGCCAAATATGTTTACAGATTTTTTATACTACTAATATCTGTTCAATAGCCATTCTCTGTATAATAAAATATATGACCTAGCCGTAAATCACTAGCAATATTTTCCATGTAAACTAGAAATTTCTGGCCCCAACTTAAATCGATTCAGGTAGTTATGAAACTCTCATCCGTTGTCGACAGTGAATGGCAGTCTCGTATCCGGTATGTTTGAAATCCACTAGTCACTGCTCCTCTGAAAGATAACCACTACTGAGCACATGATTGAAAGGGACGAAAGTTGATTTGTGGATCTCGCAGAATTTTCATAGTTAGAGTCATGAATTGGTCATGATCTAAACTATGAAAATCGGGGTATGACATTCAGACATTTATTAGAGAGATTGATCGATTTGCTAATAAATAATTATTGTTTTATTTGTTTTACCGAGATTAAGAGTAGTTGTAGTCGCACATTATACCAATTCAATAAGAAATTACAAAGTGAGGTTTGGTTATCTGTTTAAGAACAAAATCAAATCATTTAATGTAAAAATATTTTATCTTTTTTCAATTTCGCACCGTTTATTTTGATTAAATTTGAGAAGCGAAATTTCGAAATGTCTTTTAATCGGATCTTGCCTATATCAATGTCATATGTGTAGATGATGAAAGGTTGTTTAACTCCCATTAGCTAGATTGGGCGCTTTATTATTGATCCGAAAACGACTTCCTTATTCACGACAGTGATAAATTTTATACTTTTAGTTTACACTACTTGCATCATTTAAGCAGTAACCAATTTGTACTAAAAATACACTGTCATTCTTATCGTAATGTGATGCTGTGACTAAAATTTATGGACGTCCTTCAAGCTACTCCGAAGTGACGTTGGGAATATTCACTTACTTACTAAGGTGAAAAGACAGTCAAAAATTATTGTTAGGAATTAAAAATAGTATTTATATCTGGATGTAAGAGTTGAGCGAATCTGAAAACATAATACACACACTGAAATATGATTTGTTTCAAGTATTCAAAATTATCTGACATTTACAATATGGATAACATTTGGATTATTAAATTATAGAGTTGCCAGAAATTTCAAAGATCACTAAGAGTCAGTTTAGCATCTGTTTTGGACATTTAATCATAAATTACAAGCTTATAAACTTTAATGTTAATCGAATCAAATGCGTTTACTTAGTAATCTTTGTATTTCAATTTTTTTAATTTCATTACCAGGACCAAACTCAGTTCAGCGTCGTCGTGGACGTCAAACATACAGTCGATATCAGACATTAGAATTAGAAAAAGAGTTTCAATACAGTCATTATTTAACACGAAGAAGACGAATCGAAATAGCTCATAATCTCTGTTTAACTGAACGACAAATCAAAATTTGGTTCCAAAATAGAAGAATGAAGTTGAAAAAAGAACGTCAACAAATCAAAGAATTAAACGATGAAACAACTCGCCAAACCACTACAGATCCAATTCACCACAGCCGACGTGAAATGAGCTCATCACATCAATTCTTTGAAATGATGAATTCAAACAACAGTAATAATTATTATTCAGCAACTTCTAATCCAAGAATTATTGATTCAAAAGACAGCTGTCAACTTGAATGTAAACCATTGTCGTTACATAAAAAATCAGGTCTAATTCCAAAATTACTAGGTAACAATATGCAATCAGATCCAATGATTACAGGAGGATTCTTACCATCAGCTAATAGGAGTCTACAATCAGCTATCAGCTATCCTGAAAGTCAAGGTGGACTTGGTCAAGAGGACTCTGAGGATTGTGAACCAATGGATAGTGAAGACGATGAGGATGAAGATGATTTTTGTGAGTCAGATGACATTCATGGGGTTAAAGTTTCCAAACTTCCACATGAATTTACTAATCCTCACTTGATGAGAACAAATATACTACGCGACAAATTGATATCAATTAGGAGATTAAACTGTTTTTGTTAGAAAATAGAATATGAAAAACTATCGAATACAAGAACAAATAATCACACATGACATTAGTTTTTATGTTTTTATCCTGTATGAACATGCACTCTAGCTTGCTGATTTTTTGTTCTCCCTCCTCAATTGCCAGGAGTTTCCCATAAAACCTACACCAGCATTTTTTTCATTCATGCATACAACATATATTACAATTAAAATGTTTTACATAATTCCACAAAATTAAAAAAAAATGTTCTACCTACATAGTTACACTGTACCAAAGACCATTACAAATTTTCTTTACTATAAAACACTACTTGTTGAATTAAGTAGTATGAATATAAAAAGTGTTTTTTTGTCCAAGAAAATAAAAAATAGAAGTACAGGCTGTAAAAAGTAATTCAGCCTACAAAATAAGATCAATGAATGTGTTACAATAGTGAAAGTGATATTACTTAATAAAAATTAAGTATGTCAGTTCAAGTTAGGTATTAAATTTATTCCTAAAGTGACCTGCTCGTCAAAAATCGGTTGAACAACTCAGAATAGCGATTACTCCCTATGATAATATTCATCGAGAGATTCTCATAGATAAGTCAAACATGAGTCAGAAATCATATACGTTTCTACTTGAGGAAGGTACCCGCTAAAGCAAAAAGATATTGCATTTATGCAAGTTATGGTTAGATAAGAAGTATACTGATTAGTTTCCTCATTTTAAGATTATGGTCACTCAGTTGTCTTTAGTACAGTAATTGAAAACTGTAAACATCGCCTCAAGGTGCCCATTATGTTATCATAAGGCAAAATTGACAAGCCACATAGTAAATGAATTAACATTATCTTGGTATCAATGAATGTAAGGAAGATTAGATACAGAGACTACTGTTCGAAAAGAAATAAAAAAAAGTAGAAAATAATATTGAAACTAAAGATTCAGGGTTAGAAAAAAAATAATTTATGTAACAACACTACTTATATCAACTTATATCAATCAATGTCATTCAAAGAATATCAAATCTGAAATAAGTCCCAAAAAAGTTCAAATTTTGTCTTTCAAAACCGAATTCATCAATTTCAGTTTTATAATCCAGGGAATTAGTATGAAATTCTTTAATTAGATAAGCATGACATACACCGAACAGATCGAAGGGATTATTTTGATAAATCACAATCCTTGTCACTAGATGTAATCTCTAGAAAGAAATAAAATTCATCATGTTTATGAACTGATATTAATCGGTTTGAAATTTGATGCTACCTGAACAAATCATATTTTCAGCATTAAAAAGCCTTCATGAACGTATATCAGCTTCAAAAGACTGGAAACCTGTTCTCTCCCATTATGAGACCTGCGGGGATAAACCGATATATTACATAAAAATACATAGAACTCTGATACAGGAACCCTATCGATGGTAATCCAGTAATTAAACAGCGAGAAAGTTTATTGAAACTTTCTTAATGATCTTAAATATTCAGTTGTTTAGTTAAATAAACCATTAGTTAATCATCACAGTAACATCTTCGAATTTCGAGTGATAAATAAATTGGCGGTTTGATTGTTATTTTTCAAAAAAGAAAGCATCATCATCAACAGCAACGTAGAACTTCTTATGCACGTACGTACATCAGTTCATGTTGCCATACCACATTAACACAGGGATGTAATTATCTATTCAACTCCCATGGTAATAGAGGTAGTAAAAGTATTAGAAGTAATCTGAGAGGGTTAAACGATATTATTCACCACTTACCAAAATGACTCAGTCGAGTTGTTGGTGAATGCATGGATTTGTGCCATGTTTTGTTCTGGCCGCCCCTAGCTTTTTTCCAACGTAATCCTACACCACAAAACATCGATCGTATGGGCAGTCGGTGGTTGGGCATACGCAACAAATGTTCCAACCAACTCAAATGATGAAGTTTCATTTCCTTATCTATTGACGTGCCATCCTTACCTAGGACCCGTTTCCTAACAATTGCATTGCTTATTCGGTTGTTCCACGATACACGAGCAATGCTTCTAAGACACCTATAAATATCTTCTACTCATGGTGGCCACGTTTCACAGCCATAAAGAAGTACGGAGTGCACTACTGCGCAGTAAACTCGTCCTTTGGTTAGCAGATGGATAGCTCGCCTGCGCCATAAGTGGCACAGGTTGGCAAAAGTCAATCGAGATTTCTGTATCCGTGCTGAGATTTCGTCAGCCACCAGGCCATCATCACTGATGAGACCCCGAGATAAGTGAAGTGGTCAACATGCTCAACTGCTTCACTCCCTATCACTAGTTCAGTTGCCGCGACAAGCCAACCTTGAAGCGACATTTTGCATTTCGACGAAGAGAACTGCATCCCGAATATGTTTGCATTGTTGTTCAGGTAAGTCAACATCTTCACCGAGTAGAACTATATCATCTGCATATGCTAAGTCAACCAATGAATCTCCTAGTAGAAGGTCTACGCCTGAAAATTCAGTCAAAGATAATTTTATATCTAGAAGCATGTCTGTGACGAAATTAGACAAGAATGGAGAGAGTGGATTTCCCTGACGGATACCACTTGAAGTAACCGAATCCACTGACAGTTACTTCAAAAAGAAAAAATGAAATGAAATGTAATTATGTCGATCTTTGAGAATGTATTACTTGAATGCCTGAAGAGTTAGATTTTAACTAAAACATTCTTTCTTCCAGTTTATCTAAATAATTCTACTTACTAACAATAATAATAATGTTAATATATCATGTGTTGCATCAAAACAAATGAGTGTAAACTATCGAAACTATTTTTTTATAATTTGAATAATATCATAAAAAAGAGAATTGGAAAAGATTTTTTGTTCTATCGATTTAATTTCTTTGCTTTTATTCGAAGGAAATTCTTACGAAAAAAATTGTTCCTTATCATTCGATAAGGAACCAGAATTTATCAGTGGTAGAACATGAGGTAATTATTATTGATAAATCATTATGAATCAGTCTTTTTCATTATCTCAACATCTGGTTGTAGAAAAAAAATTACAACTGCAAACTATTATTAAAGCAGATTATGAAAATATTCAACATGTACAGTTTTTATTCATTCAGAAGATTATGGAATTATAATAATTCAATGAAGATTTTAATCGAAGTAATCAAAGATTTTCAAACTTATAAGTCTGTTTTTTCTTTTCTCTAGACTTGTTTAAGTAAGAATTTGTAAATAATTGAAAACTTAATTGAACATAAAATCTCTCTTAGGTAATCAGTACAAAATTAGGGATATTCAATGTAAACATTTGATTAAAATGCATCATACACTCACACATTGTGTAAAGTAAAGCAAAATTGTATAATATATCCGTCAATCATTATTGATAACGATTGGCATGAAATTGTTTCTTCGGAAGTAATAACAAAAACAACAACAGAAATTCTATTGATTGTGAATCAATTACTGCGTGAACTGACTGATAAGAGGAATTGTTTAACCGATAGAAATCATAATATTCTTCATGGTTATTGTTGGGGACGTTAGATCCCCAGAACTCAATGGATAAAGGTCCTAATTTCGGATTTTATTCATGGGCTGATCAGTTGGCCTTGAGATCATTACATCTCCCGCACGGAAAGTCCTTGATTGTCATTGGTTGATGGATTATTTTAGTACGTCATTTTTGTGGCTCTCCCAAGGACGTTTCTATGGTGTATAAATAAACTCGTTTTATGTGCCTGAGAACTTCATATTTTCTGGGTGCTTGTAGAATACACCTTCTACGCCATATCAACACTTCTTCTTCAGTCAGATGAGGCAACGTATCGGGTCACTGCATTATATCTCTTAGCTCCGGTTTACTGACTAAGGTGAAACTCGTAGTATTTTCAAGCACATTAAATTGACCGAGCATAACAGTTGACCAACTTATACATATTAATTGATGAGATTATTAAATAAATTGTCATAGCCATGTTAAAAGGATTAAGCGGAATAAAGTTATTTAACATGAAAATAAGGCATGCAGAAGTTGCAGTAAAGCTAGATAAAAGAATGAGAATATTTTTTGATGGTTTCGGATAAATGACACAATGCCTAGATTAATTAACTAATGAAGTGTAAAAAAGAATTTTAATGGTAAATACAATCATGCATTTTAGGAACGGTTAGTGTACATCATTTCACCCATAAAATTCGGCAATAGACGTAAGGTAAACAAAAAAGGGTATACGAGTGATTTCAGCGAAGGATTGGAAGATATTTTTTGCCTAACTCTGTTTCACAAGATAGCTTAGTTTTCAATAGTAGCCAGTCGTGTTTCTGTTTTAATATTTTGTAAGAGAAACGGTTATACACTTGAAACAATATTGGGTTTAAAGTTTGTTTAAACTTTAACACTCCGGAATTGAAGTCCTGTTACCATTGAACAGTCTACGCTAAAGACTGAATGTGAATTTAGGGCTGAAATAATGCACTGAGATCAATATCAAAAGTGATATTTTCACAGATTAAGGCATTTCATGCTAATTAATCATCGTTTTATGAAGGTCCAAAGATAATTTGAGGCAATTTAGTTAGTTGTTAGTTTGAATAATGTATAAAGAAAATCAGTGATGACAGGCTAGTTCAGTTAATTTGAAATATTAACTACTGGTTTATTTTGGGTAAACAATAGCTCCATTCTCATTTCTATTAAGTCTCAAATAATCTAATAATACAAAACAAAGTACGATCATGGACATTTGAAATATGACAAAAAAAGATCATGGTTTACATTTCTTTCTGGGATGTAGAGAAATATTACTGCATCAAACATATTAATTGTAAAGGGGACAAAAAAATGGATGGTGATTAGCAGTAGAATCTAGCACGTGCGTTTTTTCCGCTTTGGAATTCGTCCAACTGGATGTGTCCTGTATTTCAAAATTGATGTTTTCCGACACTCGAACGCAAGTATCGTTCTCTTATTATGGCCAAAGTATCAACTAGTTTTCGTGACGATCGGTATTCACAACGTGTTTCTTAGACTTCATAATTTGCTGT